TAGACAAAAAGGGGCATAGGATTCCATACTTGTAAGTATATACGATGCTTTAAAGGGGCAGCCCTGATAGTCAACCAATTGTAGTTCGGCGTTATGGAACATTAAACTTTGTATGTATGCAATGCAATTGACGTCAGGACTATCACAGAATCTATCGTATCTTCGTTTTTCTGGAAATCTACGAAAGTTCGGGTACGTTCAGAATTGCATCAAGCCAAAGCATCAGTCTCTTTTACTTCTAAACTATAACTGATGGAAATGCCTTATTCACGCAACTAAGTTCCAATTAGGCAATTTAACCGTGGTTGCCCATTTTGGACATTTCCATCAATTATAGTTTAGAAATAAATGCATCTGATGCTTTGGCTTGATGCATTTCTGAACACACCCTTCTACTCCAGAATCCGAATAGCTACGAACGTAAATGTGAAATTCGTAGAGAGCCTTCCTTGAATCCGTTCGTAATGAAGATTCGTACAGATACTCTACGACGAGTTTATGCTGTCGTAACAAAATTTAAAATCACTGAATCTTAAAAATAATGGAAAAAGCTGCGTTATTGTTAATAATAAATATTTATTATGCTCCAAATTTGTTATAGTTTAATATAGTTTCGTATATTTGTGCAAATGTAGAGGTAAAGTACCAATTACATACATAGATACATACTATATGTACATATGTACATTCACTGCTAGACACTATTTATTAAACGAATATTTTTCATGAAGAGAGAAATAATAGTTTAACAAAAACTTATTAGGAAAGAAACCTTATTACTTTAATATCATAAGAATTAATAATAAAAAAAAGAAATGTCTCTTAAATAATAAAATCTAAACAAAAAAATATTAAAAAATGAAACAAAAAATAAATAAAAAAAAGCTCCACTGCCCGACGACTCGGACTCGAACTCGGATCTCTTAATTGGCAGTCTAGTGCTTTGCGCACTCGGCCATTAAGACTGCTGCGGCAGCGTGAGCAAAATGGCATACATAAATGCCTATTGTTTCCTTTCCACTAGCTGATTTCGAATCAGCATTCGAAGCTGGCAACGATATTTTTCGAGTTCACTCGGATTCAGTGATAGCAATTTTTTCGTATTCATAGCAGGCATTCGAATTCATAGATTTTCTACGATGGACTCCGTGATAGCCCTGAGTATTAGGAATATGCTAGGAATTCTTCCCATAGAAAATATGCCTGGTCCAATGCATACTGAGGATCAAAAGTGTGCTATTGAAATGACTGGGAGTGTATCTACCGACCTTTATACAAGGCTGAATTTCAAAAGAAAATTAGTTGAGACCTTTCTATATTAAGGTAACGACGTTGTGCTGCATGGTGTATTGTCCCATGTGCAGCATATTCATTTCGTTAACTTAATTTAGAAAGGCCCTATCTGACATTGTATTAACGAAGGACAGCTAATTTAAACTGTTGTAGATATATACATACATACATATCGTTAGCTTAATTAATTAATTCACAAAGTCCCTAACTAACAAATTTTTTATTTTACAGGAGATGCAAAAAACATTATAAAAAAAAATAGGTAGGGTTCCATTGTTTTTGGTAGTAACATTTTGCAATTTTTATTGAAGGTGTATTTTAATATCTCTTGCCGAAATCTGTGAAAAACGCAGTTTTAAAAAAACGAGTTGGTTGGGGCCTTGTGAATTAGGGTAACGATATGTAGGTATAGTAGCAGAGCCGACTGCTTCAGAGGCGAAGTTGCAGTTCTTGAAGTGCTCTTCCCACTTTTTCCGCTTATGCTGGTTTACCAGTTGCCGAATGTCCAAATTAAGGTCCTTCAGGCGAGGATCCCTGGTCACGCTCATTTGCTAGAAGAGCTGTTTCTGCCGGGAAATTTAGGCAGACTACCGCGATGCGTCCGGACGGTATTAAGCGAGCCGCTGCGGTAGTGGCTACCCTCCGGAACTGGCGTTCGCCAGCGTGTATGTCTGCGGGAATGGGAAGGGCGGCGAAGCTGCTCTCGGTCCGCGAAGCCATTTTAATCGGCTTGTTAAAGTTGATATAAGTTCGGTGGTCCGCGCCGCAAAGTCGGTGGGCTTATTGATCGAGATGATTATGAGCAGTTGGTCTGATGCCAGCGTTAGGATAGGTCGCCATGTTATGCTATTTATCAGACCAGAGCTAGCAATTGTTAGGTCTGGCGAGCTGTTGCAGCTGCCCACGATCCTGGTGGTGTCGTCGTCGTTCATGGAGCAGAATGTCGAATCGTCTATCTGCTCAGCCAATAGGTTTCCCCTACGATAATTTGCCAGGCTTGAGTGCCAAACATCGTGGTGCGCGTTGAAGTCAACTGCTACCATTCGGTTTTCACATCAGCACCTACGTGTGCAGGGTGATATCCTGTCGGGCAGCAGGGCATTCTAGGGTGGTGTCCTTCGGGTCGATGTCATCTTCGATTAAACGATACTGCACTGTGTGTTATAGAATGAACGCTAATCCTCCACCATTATCTCGTTCGCGATCTTTACGGAGCACATTGAATATGGTGCAACTATAATGCGTTGAGTTGCTGTGCAACTTCGTTTCTTGGACCGCATCTACCAATATGCCATGCCGACTCATGAAGACTGCTATCTCTTCCATCTTGCTCTGACTGAACCGTTGCAGTACGGTTGTAGGAGTATCGTATGCCTTGGGAGGCTGGTCGCGATACGGGGGGTGAGGGACGTGTTGGGGCTGCCTTCGGCCTGTTGCGCCCGCCGCAATTACTGTTGCTGCCTGGCGGCTGGTGGCTGCAGTGCACGCGGTGCAGATGGCGTGGGCAACCAGGTACTACTGTTACTCAGTGGAGCTTTTTGGAGCAGTACAGGCTCTTTGGGTGCTAGTTCGCGAGTAGCCGTGGTCCACTCCCTATGAGATTTAAGGCCAGAACAGGTTCTTAGATGACTCCATCCGTTGCAAGAGTTGCACCTAACCGAAGTGGAGTTCGGATGGAGTCGTTTCTGGCAAACGCAGCAGAAGTTTGTTTCTGGTCCGGGGTTGGGCTCAATGCGCGCCCGGATATGAAGGATGCGGAGCAATCCGACTGCAAGGTTCGCTGATCTAAACGGGGTTAGGTCGCCGAAACAACAGCCCTTGGTCGGGTAAAACCCTAGTCATTCCGGTACGCAGAACCGGCTGTCGTGGGAATATGTAATAGGTAATAGTTACCTTCGGACTCTGCATTTTACTATAAAATGCAGAATTTTCTTAAATTTTTTTACTTTTTGTAGTACAAAATGCACTCAGCTTGTTGTTTTTCTCTGTATACTATGTATGTATACCGATATCACAAGTTAAATTTTTCACTTATTTACTTATCTAATAGGTAAAATTTTTGTTATTGGAAAAGCATTAAAATTCCACAAAGTTTTTTTGGGAATCAGCTGGAGGGACGGTCGTTGGGCGCAGATATACTAGATCTGGGTCGTACCGGTTACGTAGACCTGACTGTCGGGGGACGTATCTAATATTACTTGTAGTATTTGTCTTACGTTATTCCTTGTCCTGAATGATGTTTGACCAACTTTTATGTAGATTTTCCAGTATGTATAGGCTAGCGCTGCCCAAATTTTTCCATTCATTTCTTTCTTTTTTTTTGCATTCTCTTGGTATCTATCTTCTCTACCAAATCCGTTTCGTATCGCGCTATATACTATTTAATACTTAGCGTAGTGTTCTACACTTGCAATTGTAGCAAAGGTTTTTCGATTTTCATGAGTCTTTGTTAGTAGTCGTCTTATTTTTTTTAGTAATGTTAAGTTTAACAAACTTTGGCATGTCAATTTTAGTTCGCTTTAAAAAGTGAAATATTCCATGAAATATTGGTTCAGATATTTTAGTTCTTTGTTATACGCACCATATAATTTGTTGTTGTGTTTTTTATTATTTTTATTTCATCGAACAAGTCTATTCAAGTGTCAATTTGTTCGGGATCCGCATACCATAAACGATTCAAAAAGCAATTTTTTGTAGACTTGTTCTTTTTTACACCAATAAGTATGTTGGTTTCTCATCATAAATAGAATAAATTTAATTTATATACATATATTAAAATAAATGAACTGTATTTATTTCAAAATAAAAAAGTGATTGTAAACTTAATAGTCAATTGGATATACGCATATG